GGGTTTGAACCGCCAGCCTTCTGGTTAGCAGTCAAGTGCCTTAGCCACTATGCTACCAGAGCTCCTACTATGCCACTAGAGCTCCTAAATTTTATTATATATTATTAAAATTATGTATTTTAGATTACATAACCTACTATCATTTTAAATAACTAAATCATATATTACAATGAATAGTAATCCACTGGGTATATATTTTAATTAAGTAAATGCATTATAATTAATTATTATAAATCGTATGTGAATAATACTATATAGATGATACCAAAAATTAAAATGCTCATTTAAATTACATATAATAATGTTCTATATGTATTATTATATGTAATTTAAATGAGCATTTTAGATTTTAAAGGAGCCCTGGTAGCTTAGTGCCTAAGGCATTTGTCTGCTAATCTGAAGGTTGGCAGTTCAAGACCACCAGCCACTCTGCAGAAGGAAGACTGGGCAATCTACTTCCATAAAGGTTGTCCTTAATAAAAAAAACACAAGTATGTACTCAGTCAGTTTAACTGAGAAATTGACATGCACAATCTTTGATTAAACTATCCATTATTTCATTTATCCAACCAAATTTTTTTCAATGCTTTGTGAGTATAGGTGCCTGTGCTAAGTGCTATGAAGACAGAAATACATATACCTGATTTGATGATATTGTTGCATACCTGCCAGTGTTTTAATCCTTTAGTGACTGAATTATTTTCTGCTTTGGATTTTTTGTTGATACCATCTGTTTTCAGTAACAGAAGGCATGCTGAAACCGAGGGGGAAAAATATTTTGCAGTCTTTGAATTTTGACACAATTATGTAGAACGCTTATGTCCCAAGTAGACTCTGATAGTAGGATGATGAGGCCCATTTCCTCATATTCACACAGTTACACAAATTTAGGCCAGCCAGCAGTATATACTACAACAGCAGTTTCCTAATATACCTAAGAGGCTGAAAATTTTGGTGAGCACAGTGGGTCACGAAAGTGTTAAAATACTCCGAAGATTATGTTACATTGCCCCTGGTATAGATTTCAGCTGTCAGCACTGCGACCAGTGGCCAAGCTATACTAACGACTGCCTCTTCCCACAGGAGAGAAATGCCTGTCGGAGATGCCCTATGACAGTAGCACCAGCTATGAGAAAGAGAATGAAATGATGTCATCACATGTGATGGACCAGGCCATCAACAACGCAATCAGCTACCTAGGAGCTGAGTCCCTGCGCCCCCTGGTGCAGACACCGCCAGGTGGCTCTGAGGTGGTCCCGGTCATCAGCCCTATGTACCAGCTCCACAAGCCCCATGGGGATGGCCCCCAACGCTCCAACCACACAGCTCAGGACAGCGCCGTGGAGAACTTGCTGCTACTCTCCAAAGCCAAGTCAGTCTCTTCAGAAAGGGATGCCTCACCAAGCAACAGCTGCCAAGACTCCACAGACACCGAGAGCAACAACGAGGAGCAGCGTGGCGGCCTCATCTACTTGACCAACCACATCAACCCCCATGCTCGGAATGGCCTGTCCATCAAGGAAGAGCACCGGGCCTACGACGTGCTCCGGGCAGCTTCCGAGAACTCGCAGGATGCCTTCCGTGTAATCAGCCCCAGTGGCGAGCAGATGAAGGTGTACAAGTGCGAACACTGCAGGGTGCTTTTCCTGGACCACGTCATGTATACCATCCACATGGGCTGCCATGGCTTCCGTGATCCTTTTGAGTGCAACATGTGTGGCTACCACAGCCAGGACAGGTATGAGTTCTCATCACACATCACCCGTGGTGAGCATCGCTTCCATATGAGCTAAGTAAGCTTTTCTTCTAGAAGCTGATGGATTGTCATGCACTCTCTTCTGAAGCGGCAGGGGCCACCCTCCAAGAAAAGCACAATCACCCACAAACAGAAATGCATAAAAGAACTGCTGCCTTCTCCCCTTCTGTCAGCAGCATGTACTGGATGATGATGTATTTTGATTTTAAAGTGTTCTGGGGATTTTTCCTGTTGTTGTTTTTGGTTTTGTTTTTTCTTAAATTGTTTGGCTGGGATTTTATTTGCTTTTGAAAACAATGAGAATTTTACTGTTAGATGCAGGGTAACATTTGGAGCACCGAAACTATTCCCTTATTAGCCATTTCCATAAATGGTTAGCTGAAATCCCTTTACCTCTTGTTTTATAATTCCCCTCCTCCAAACAATCAGTCCTTTTTCACAGAGAATCATAGGAAAATGGCCAAAGCCTGGGAAGGAATGTGCTGGTTCACATGCTAAGCACAGGATTCACGCACTCCATGAGCATTCCAAGTCCCTAGGAGCAGTAAGCATGGCACAGAATGTGTGGCATCCCATGGTCCAAGTACTGGAGGTGAGCAGACAAGAAGTGAGACCACCTTGGAGGTGCCAGCATGAGAGTGCTGGCCTGAATAGGGAGCTGAGGGTGCAGCATCACATCCCATGAGTCTAGGGCTAAAAGCTGCTCTTTTTGAAAGAAAACATTATTTTAAGTTACTTTTTGCATAAGAAAATAAATTGTTTGGGAAAAGTTGTAGTTCACAGGCTGGCTTGCACAAAGAGGGAGCATTTGGAATCTTTTAGACTCTTTAGGTTTTCAAGGTCCTGAGGTGTTTCTCAGATGGCTGCCAAGCCTTCTTAGATTCATGCCAGGGAGGATGAACTCAGTATTCCTGTGCACATAGCTGAATACCTCTGCTCTCTCCTTCTCCTCCACATGTCTTCAGTGCCCAAAAAATGTCTGTCACTACATCTTCAACACCAGTCCAAAAATTTGGACGCTAATTCTCTTTAAATTACTCAAAAAGTCGAATTCCTCAGAAACCAAAGCTTTCTTCCAAATTCCACACTTATTTCTTTGCTTGTATCCCTTCCCTGGCTGGTCCTCCCTAAGACCATAAGCACATGTTCCTACGGAAGTCCAGACCTCACCCTCCTAATCTTCGTTTTAATTAAGTACATATTCTGTGGCCACAGGCCTGGATTTCTTAAGGTCAGTAAATTTATTTCCCTACCCTCACTCTATGTTATTCTTGTTTTAAAACCCATAAAAGGATGGCTTAAAATAACCATTAATTTTCAGATCAATGAAATATGACAAGTGAAGCCCAGCACTGCCATTGCTGACCCATAGCACTTACCTGTTTAAAACTTAACTTGAAAACATCCCAAACACTCTAATGTGAAGACAGAGTAGCATACATGTGCCCACGTGTAAATATGATGCATGGCTCTGGATCCTTTCCCATTGCAGAGACAAGGTACAGGGCAGTCATGATTTACCCCCATAGAGTGGTGCTCGAAAGATATAACAAGGAGGCAGGGGGTGCTGGTGTTGCGAACTCTGCCTGTATGTACTAAGGCAGTCAAATGCATCTCTGAAGCCTAAACTAAGGTGTTTTGGGATCCAAAGCCCAACCATGAGGAAGGGTCTTCCTCATGATAATGGTATCTTTATTATTAAGGTCATTAATCTCAACCATGATGGCAAGGAAGAGCATATAATTTCAAATTCATACAGTACTTGTCTTCATTAAACACGCCCCAAGACGAACATGAAAGAACAATTGAGAAAACATTGTATATAAACATTGGAGTTTGGAGAGCAGCATTTAATCTAAATCAGAATTTCTTTAGTCTCAACATTATTAACATTGTGGACTGGATAATTCATTGTTGTGGGGAGTTGTCCTGTGTATTGTAGGATATTTAGAAGCACCCTTGCCTAATTGCACTGCCCTGGTAGCACCCCCAACTGTAACAGCCAAAAATGTCTTCAGATACTGCCAAATATCTGTACAGGGAAAAATCACACCTATTTGAGAACCACTGATCTAAATAAATTCTAGCCCAATCAAAGGCCTAGGAAATCTTCACCAAAAAATGAGAACACATGAACAGTATTCTTGATCAACAAGTCTGCCTTGTGTTCCTTTGGAATCACTGTAACTTTTATCAGTGGGTTGTTTCCCTCTAGTCTTCCAAAATAAGCCTCCTCGGATACACTTGAGCTTTGTTGAAGGGACAGAGTTCACAAGAATACAGTTCTTCAGTCATGAATTTCTTTGCTTACAGAATGGTGTGACATTTTGAAACTGGAAATAAACAAATTTTAATTGTGGTACACTAGTCCACTGAGTGAAGGAAAAGAGGCGGGAGCTAAAGTTGGCGAAAGCTTTGATTCAATATGCAGTTACAGAGAAAGACATGCCTTATCCAAATTAATGTATTCAAAGTAAGAGCCTCCTTTGATTTCTGGTTAGTTAGCAAATTTCATATACTCTGTTCTTATACATTCTTCCCACAGAGCCGATTGGTTGAAGCCAGTTACTTTTTCTAGTATCATTCAAACAAAGTTTAAACCAGAACTGTAAATAGTGGCTTCAGGAATTCTTTTCTAAAATTCTTTCCCCCTTCCTTCTCATGGTCTTTTATAGCCCATATAAATGTCTGTTTACATACCTTTTGTTGTAGTTTTATATTATAACACCATTTTTATTTGAAACTGTTGTATTTAATGTAAGATTTCATATAATGTCAACCAGTAATTAAGTTATGCTTGAAAGGTGGCCATATTCTGTACCAAAAGTTGTTAATGATTTTTCCTCTAGCTGGTAAAAGGATTTTGCATGACTTCATATCTTTTTGTTCTGTGGTTCTGTTGTGTGATGGTTTGAGTGTATGTCTTGGGTCCTCCTGTGTAATGAGATGTACATAGATTTCGTGCACATTCATTGTGTTAAAATAAATATCAAAGAAAGAAAGATTCAGATTAGCAGGTTAACCTGATGATTGCAATTAGAAATGACTGTTTCTTGTTCCTTCCCCTCTTCTCTCACCCATCTCCCAATAACATGGAAAGCTTCAACACCTGCTCCCTACCCTGAGTCCTTTTTGTAATGTTGTACCTTAAAACGTGTGCGTGTCCTAGTTGAAGAGTCACTAAAAATATTTGCATTATCACTGCATTACCACTGAAGGTTGTGTCCCAGCACTGATTACTTCAGATACCAACATGTGCTATTTCAAATTTAGAATCAACCACATAATGAAATCTCAGACTCTTCATTTGGAAAAAGAGAGCTACATGGATTTTTTTTTTTAATTATTGTTATTATTGTGCTTTTTTTGTTATTTTGTTTTGACTACATTGTAAATCTCATAGTATTTCTTCTTACAAAGACAGATGAGAGATGAAATGGACATGTGTAGATAAATCATGAGGCAAATATGTTTCTCTATTCTTCATTTCTTAAATTCCAGCAATAATGAAGGGGCAACTCTATTTAAAGTCCAGAAGTCTATCATTAAGTTTTTTTTTAACTTTGAAATGAACCAAGATTAGATTTATTTAAGATGTACAGGCATCATAAAAAGAAGTACATATGCTATTGATACAATAGCATTCACTGTGAACACGTGTAACCAGATATTAATATGCAATATTGTCCCAATACTTTCTAATACAGTTGTTTTTTGTTTTGTTTTTTTAAATAATGTTGTGTGTGTTGATTGTTAAAGTTGAATTTGTTTATATCCAATACAGCTTCACTTGCCTTTTTTTTTGGCAAGTACACGTACAGGACTATAAATGAGAAAATGCAGAAAATGTATTTCTGATCTGCCTCTGATTGTGTTAAATTATTTCTGTTTATCTGTGAACACAGGATGTGCAATTGGAGGGATAGACTATCCTTTTGTACACATTTGAAATGCTTCTTCTGTAGTGATGATATAACAAATAAATGCACCAAATACTTTGTCTACCCTCTCCCCTGGAGTGCACAATAATGTGCAGGAAGGCCATACTGAGCAGGAATCTGCTATAGATGCCCTTCCAGTAGGACCCCAGGATGTGAGGAAGAGCAGAGATGAGCCATGGGATAGGAAAAATGACCTGATTCCAGCACAGCAATTTGGTTCAGCACACTGACTACCTCCTGTCTATAAGGATGCTGGGCTTGAGGATACTAAAACATAGTCTTTGACCTCGAAGTGTGGATTTGAGGGTGGGTAGAGATAGAAGGAAGGTTGGGCAATCCTACTCCCGTAGTGATACTGCCTCGGAAACCCAAGGAGGGGTCGCTATGAGTCAGGGCTGACTCGACGGCACATAACAACAACAACAACAGAGATACAATAGGGAACTCTGGTAGCATAGTGCCTAAGGCACTTGACTGCTAACCAGAAGGCTAGAGGTTCAAACCCACCAGCCACTCCTCGGAAGGAAGATGGGGCAGTCTACTTCTGTAGTGATACTGCCTCGGAAACCCAAGGAGAGGTCGCTATGAGTCGGGTCTGACTCGACAGCACATAACAACAACAACAGAGATAGAATAAGAAGAAATGCAATTATAGCTTTTCACAGTCCAACATAGCAACACCATGAATGTCATGGGCCCATGGCTGTGGGCTCAGAGGAAGTAGTGGGCATTCTAGGTCCTGACCTTCACACTCTGACCCCGGGAGCTGTTCTCTTATCTGGGATCCTTGCAATGCCATGAGGCCAAGTTCAACTCTGCTTCAGAACTGCACTGTTGCAGTCTCACTCAGTAAAAACCTTTTCTCTCTTTTGAAGAAATAGTCAGTCATCATCTGTATTCAGACCTAGTAAATGAAGGAAGATTTTCATGGTGCAATGTTTGGTCCAAACCAGGTGAAACGCAGATAAAATAAACAGATTTTCATCATCTTTCACACCTAGCCTTGACATCAGTTCCCAGAGAGGACACTCAAAGCATATCATTTGCCAAGGTAGCATCATCTTTTGAAGAAGTTTTCAGCTTCTTTAGGTTACCT